ATGTATTTTTTGCGGGTCAAAATATTTTAATTTGTATTGGGTTAAAAATATTTTTAGTGTGTAACATGCATAGCAGACGTGTTTGATCCTTTTGACAAGTATATTTAGTCCATCCGGGATCAGATGTTTTTTTTTTATTACTGTTTTTATTATGTTTGATAGCTCACGGTTAACACTCAATTTGGGTCTGCTATCATGTCGATCCGATATTCACAAACTTTATGAAAGCAAACTAATATTAGTTTATGTTATAAATGATATAGAGAATATATATCTAAAAACAAAACCTTATATTTATGTGTAAGTCTAAATTATTGACCTATTTTCTTATATGTTTGACTAAAATATACACTCTCAAATGGGTAAATAATTAAAATGGTTATGAGATGGAAAATATGACATATTTAGGATGCACGGGAGAAGGTTTTGGTCCAGAAATTGACAAGCCACATTTCTTTTAATATTTGTTTTAATGTACAACTGTCTTTAATTAAACCAAACCGTATCGCTTTTTTGTTTAATATAATAAAAAAAATATTGAATTGGTACGGGTTTGATTATAAATGTTAATAACATTCCTAAAAGTTACGTTTACAAACATAATCATGTACGTAATATATGTCAAAATTTAATACCAAATTTTGGATTTGAAATCAATCCCGCACGTACGTGCGGGTCCGAATCTAGTTTTGTTTAATTTAGAGAATTTTAAGAAAAGCTAAAAAAAAATAAAACTATACTACATTAAGCATAAAATTAAAAAATAACAAAAAAAATAATTGTAGGAAGGAGAGAATATCTATCTTTGGTATACCTACTTTGGTTTCTCTCATCTATTATAAAAACAGACACAACAACACTCTCCACTCACCACCAAAACACTTAGCTCCATTTACCAGATCTGAATCTCTCTTCCTCTAGAGCATCTCATCCATGGCTTCCTCTGATTTCGATGGAATTCTCTTGGGAATGGGTAACCCACTCCTCGACGTCTCTGCCGTCGTCGACCAAGAGTTTCTCAACAAGTAAGCTCAGATCCCGTTTGTTTTCTTTCCGTTCTGAATCGGTTTGTTGTAAGATACTCTTCTGGCTTCTCTGTTTTTTTTAATGTTTTTCTTTCTTCTTTTGGAATGGTCACAGATACGACATCCAATTGAACAATGCGATTCTCGCAGAGGACAAACATTTGCCCATGTAAGTCATTCCCTTTTCTCAATCCTATTTTGGATTTGATACCGCACTCATATGTACTCTGATATAGAAATAGAATTTGGATTTGATGTGACACAGTGAAAATAGCTCATAATGCTGTCACAAGTCTTGGTGATTTGTCATTGGCCTTGAGTGATGCGATTTTTGAATATGACTGAGACTATTTTTCAGATACTCTTGTGTTGATTCACATGATAATTGGTATTGTTTAGGTACGATGAGATGAGCCAGAAGTTCACTGTGGAATACATTGCTGGAGGTAATTCATATTTTAAGAGCAAAATTTGTTGTTAATGTGCATTAGTAGCAAGATTTGTTGATTTCGTTTTGTTTTCAGGTGCTACCCAGAACTCAATCAAAGTGGCCCAGGTAAAGGGGTTGTCAACGCTTTATTCTCATAGTTATTTTTAAATGTTAGTGCCTTTGTTGCTTAACAGAACGATTTATTTGACTACTACAGTGGATGCTTCAAATTCCTGGGGCAACCAGCTACATGGGATCCATTGGAAAGGACAAATACGGAGAGGCTATGAAGAAGGATGCTACAGCAGCTGGTGTCAATGTGAGTCTGCTTTAGGTTTCTTAGTTATTGGTGTTTGGTTCTGCTTTGTAAGTCCATATCATCAGGGAATAGACTGTTGATCTGCTGTTGTTCTTCTATATACCAGGTCCACTATTGCGAGGATGAGTCAACACCTACCGGAACTTGCGGTGTCTGTGTTCTTGGTGGAGAAAGGTCAGTTTACAGTCAATCTTCATGTCTGCTTTTGATTATCATCTTCATAAGATGTCCTTCTTCTGAGTTGTATTAAGGTGTGTTTCCCTTTTTTTTTTGTAGGTCGCTCATTGCAAATCTTTCTGCTGCAAACTGCTACAAGGTTGAACACCTGAAGAAGCCTGAGAACTGGGCTTTGGGTAAAACACTCATCTTCTAATCTTTTTCTTATCAGAGTTTGCCTTCTGAGTTTTGATAGTTTCCATATGTTGGATTCATCTGAGAGTCTGTGAACTGATTCTTTTTTGGCAGTTGAGAAGGCCAAGTTCTACTACATTGCTGGATTCTTCCTCACGGTTTCACCAGAATCCATTCAGTTGGTACGTGAACATGCCGCGGCAAACAACAAGGTAAGAAGACGTGATCCTTTATGAGAATCAGGCACAGTGATCTCTCTCCCCTACCAGTGTGTCTGATCAATCCTGACATGCTCATATTTGGCAGGTGTTCACAATGAACCTTTCTGCTCCATTCATCTGTGAATTCTTCAAAGATGTTCAGGAGAAGTGCCTGCCGTAAGCATATCCTGATCTCTTAATCCATTTATTTTATCTTATAATTGCCTAAACTAATCGCGATATACTGACAAGCAATATCTTGCTTGGACCAGGTACATGGACTATATTTTTGGCAATGAGACTGAGGCAAGAACCTTCTCCAGGGTTCACGGCTGGGAGGTAACTGTCGAATTTTCACCCTGTTTTTTTTTTTATAAAGATAATTTATTAATCTGTTTGGGTTTTTATTTTAAACATACAGACTGATGATGTTGAGCAAATAGCCATCAAGATGTCCCAGTTGCCCAAAGCCACCGGAACATACAAGAGGACTACTGTGATTACACAAGGGGCAGATCCCGTGGTTGTTGCCGAGGATGGAAAGGTGAAGAAGTACCCAGTCATCCCTCTCCCCAAGGAGAAGCTTGTTGACACCAACGGTGCAGGTATTTGATAAGCCCTCGCTAACTGCTCTCTAACTAAGATTCAACAGCTCTAATCTGCTACATTCCGTTCTAGGCTAGATACAGTTAGACTTATAGCTAAGAGTTTATCCCCTGAATTCAAAAGCTTATTGATGTTTGATGATATTAACCACTCATCTAGTTAGCGTAAACACCCCTGAACCTTATCCACATCCAGGATTACCAAACCGTTTGCTTTGTTAGTAGATTGTAATAAGAAGATCATCGTACATTTGGTCTCAGTTTCAAGTAAACTAATTCCAGTGGTTGAACCGCCTTTTTCTGTAATCACAGGTGATGCGTTTGTGGGAGGGTTTCTTTCACAGCTGGTGCATGGAAAGGGGATTGAAGAGTGCGTGAGGGCGGGATGCTACGCCTCAAACGTAGTGATCCAGAGGTCTGGTTGCACCTACCCTGAGAAACCAGATTTCAACTAAAACATCCTTTTAGTTTTTATATCGGAATGAGATTTTGGTGATTTATATACGACCCGAATAAACACTATTGTTGTTTTGCTTGGATCACCTTTCTGAGGCTTTGAGCTATTGAGTGTGTGTGTTTTGGCTTGATTTTATCAGTTACCCTTTTATATCAGTACTCTATGATTTAATAAATATTTTTACTATAACAGGCCTTGGTATGATATACCAAAATGTTCATGGCTTGTACATCATCATGGATGCAATTATTCCTCTATAGTTTGTTAGAACTTATTCCTTTAGTGAACAGATAGATAGAATGTCACTTGAATTTGAGTTGGTATTGCTCAATTAGGGAGGTGGCTCATTTAAACTAATGTTAAGATCCTCCTCTTGGTTGGCTTAGCCAAACCGAGTCAAGTAGTTGGTAGTTGAATGATCACAGTTTCCCTATAATGGACATTGCCGTTTCATAACTTGTTCTAAAGAAACGGGTTCGAATTCAAAATAGTTGGGGTTCAACGAAACTACAATGGTCGTAATTGCTATATATGCCAAACAAACAAAGTTTGTAGAATCTTGTGCTGTGTGTCGTCGGTACATAAAAGAACAATATCTATCGAATCAGAAGGATATGACAAGTTTGGGATATGTAGCGGTAGGACCAATACGACTCGTTAGAATCTATTGACTTTTGACCTTATTATAAGGATCATCCACCAACTTTGACTTTTACTTGTCTCTTGTACTAGTATCTTATCTTTTCCGTATTATACAAATCAAACTCGAAAATTTCACAACAAGTCTCTATTTTGTTTCCTATGGATCCGACTCGTGAGACCCTTTCCCTTGCCAATTTAAGGTTCTCAATAGGGACAGTGTAGCTGTAACATCTCTTGGTAAGTGAAGTTTCGAGACTTGAGTGAAAAGTACCAAACCGGGATCAAACCGAACTTATATTGATCCACAGCAGCGTAAGCAACACGACAAAGTGGTTTAAGTTACCAAGATTTAAGGTACTGTAGCTCAACAAAGTAGTGGTACAATTTACCAAAACCAATATTAAAGAAAGCGATCGATATAGAGATCGATCAATCGCGGGAACCAAAAACGAGGATTTGTTTAATTCATTATTTGTGTGAAAATGCTAAAACATTGTCGTTAAATTCAGGTAATCTAGGTTCCAGGAAGATTTGGGAAATCTCCTCCTAGGTAGGTGGTGATCCAAAGTTAAGTATCCCTTTCACTTCCCCCATTGCAAAATCTCATACATGATTAACTTACAAATCCATAAATAAATACAGATTAATAGAGGATAATGCTTGTTAACACAAATTTTAATGTAAGATTATAAGTATATTGTTCATACATCTGATGAGTCATAGTAAAATTCCGTAAACTATAAAAAGATGATGTTGGAAAAATAAGATAAAGTACCAATTAGTTGTTTACTAAACAAAACCATAATTTCAAAAGTGATCAGATACAAATACACTCATCTATTTTAACCACTTTGTGAAGCACCTTTACCGTTGAACAAGTCAACAAAATAAAAATTTAAAAGAGATAGAAAGAAAACGTTTTTTCTATACAATAAGAAAATATTTTTTTTGGAAACATCTAAAAAAATAAAAGAGCACAAAACCAATATATATATATATTTTTTTATTTTTGTCCAATTTAAATTCTCACTTCCTCCGAGTTCCTTTAGCTGACTTTAGCTATCTGTAAAAGACTTGGTTTTGTTTTTTTCTTTAAGCTTTTGCCGTGTGACGACTTCTTCATCTTCTTCGTCCTCCTCCTTCTCCTCTTCCAAGTTTTTTTGCTTCTCTTAAAATTCCATTTCATTAAAAAACACCTTCTACCTATCTTTTCTCTAATCACTCTGTAGATTTTCTAAACCACGTAATCATATAATCATCCTTCTCTTCTGGCGATTGAATTTCATCTTCTTCTGATAAAGTTTTGATTTTTTTTTCCTGTATACAAACTAAAATTCAAAGGTGAGTTGTAGTCATCTTCTGCTTTTTATGTTGAGTTCAATAAGTCATTGTTCTTTATGTTTGTTGCTGTTGGGTTTTGAGAGTATAGGAGGAATCTTACTTGTGAAGCTCGATTGCTTCTAGCTTTCGAGATCCTTTCTCTTACCTTCTAGAAATTAGGGTTCGTTTTACTTTGAAAACTTTGGAAAGAATTTGGATCTGCTGTGTCCTGTGAGTAAAATTTGATCTTTTGAATCCAAAGTTTGAAATCCGAGTAAGTTGAAACCAAGGGAAACACTGACGTTTAAGAACAATGACTCTGTTATGTTTCGTTGTACTTGGTTATGGAAATGCTTTAACTTTGCAGCTTAGTTGTTCGACAATATGTTCCAATGAATTTCATACGGTTTTGATGTTATGGTTGCGTGATCAGTGTTTATTTGTGCCCTGCAGTGGAGAAACCAAGCTGCTTTAATCTCTTCTCGACGATGAAGTGTTTCTTGTTCTCTGGTGGGGACAAGAAGGGTGAACAGAAGACCCCTAACTCTGTTTCATTGACCTCCAACTTCTCTGACCGCGAAATCAACCGAAGCGGGTCTGAGTTTAACTCTCGGGATGTCTCTGGGACGAGCACAGAATCATCCATGGGGAGGAAGAACTCATACCCTACAATGTCTACTAGAGCAAGTAATCTCAGAGAGTTCAGCATTACTGATCTCAAGTCTGCAACAAAGAACTTTAGCCGATCTGTTATGATTGGAGAAGGCGGTTTTGGTTGTGTCTTCAGGGGAACAGTGAGGAGTTTAGAAGACCCCTCAATTAAAATTGAAGTCGCCGTGAAGCAGCTCGGTAAAAGAGGGTTGCAGGTTAGTCTTTCTTTCCTGGCTTATTCTCTAGATTTTGTCAGTTATCCACGAGACTAACTCTGTTGTCTCATGTCTTGGATTCTCCAGGGGCATAAGGAATGGGTTACAGAAGTGAACTTTCTCGGTATAGTTGAGCATACAAACTTGGTGAAATTGCTTGGCTATTGTGCTGAAGATGATGAACGTGGGATCCAACGGCTTTTGGTTTATGAATACATGCCTAACCGAAGTGTTGAATTCCACCTGTCCCCTCGGTCACTCACAGTTCTTACTTGGGACCTCAGATTGAGAATCGCCCAAGATGCAGCTCGCGGCTTAGCATACCTACACGAAGAAATGGAGTTTCAGGTAATGTCATGACTCTGCTATGTTATTGATCTCATTTCTCCTTCTTTACTGACTTTGATCTATTTTTTTTTTTTTTGTTTTCAGATAATATTCCGCGATTTCAAGTCCTCGAACATTCTTTTGGATGAGGACTGGAAAGCAAAGCTCTCAGATTTCGGTTTGGCGCGTTTAGGTCCATCTGAAGGACTAACCCATGTATCTACTGATGTAAGTTCTGCATCTTACTTATTTTCGGTTGCAGGATTTGAGAAAAAGACATCTAGCACTCTATTAACGTGTTACAATGGGTTTCTCCGGTTTTATTAGGTTGTAGGTACAATGGGTTATGCGGCACCTGAATACATTCAAACAGGCCGTCTCACATCAAAAAGCGATGTGTGGGGTTATGGAGTGTTCCTCTATGAGCTTATCACAGGAAGGCGACCAGTAGACAGAAACAAACCAAAGGGAGAGCAGAAGCTTCTAGAATGGGTGAGACCGTATCTATCTGACACAAGGAAGTTCAAACTCATATTAGACCCGAGGCTGGAAGGGAAGTATCCGATCAAATCAGTTCAAAAGCTAGCAGTTGTGGCCAACAGATGTTTGGTTAGGAATCCAAAGACACGTCCCAAGATGAGTGAGGTGTTAGAGATGGTGACCAAGATTGTGGAAGCATCTTCAGGGAACGGCAGCCCACAACTAGTTCCGTTGAAGAGTAAAAACGCCTCAAGTGACGCTGGAGGAAAGAACAAGAGGGGTTTAGAGACAAAGAACAATGGTGGTGGCGGTGAAGGAGGTTGGTTTGGAAAGTTATGGAACCCAAAGACAATACGAGCTTGTTGATTGTTTAAAATTCAACCACATCTTACGAAAACAGAAGACTCAAAGAAACGTTTCAGGGAGATTGGAAAGCGTGAAGATTTTGGCGAGATCAAGATCGAGCTTATATTTATATACATACATATATAATTTACATTTGAAGATTATGAAATGTTCCAAATGATGTTTGTGTGATTGTAACCACAGCTGAGTTAAGAAGATGTGTATATAAGCAAAAATGGCTTATCAGAGTTTTGTTCCAAAGCTGATAAAGTCTGCAGCACAAAAAAAATACTCGTGCTTACGTGTATTTGTGTGTGTGTGTGTATGTTAGTTCTAAAAGTACCTATTAATTACCGTAAGTAAATCCTCTTTCTTTTTTCTTGTTGGGATAAAACCATAACTGACCCATAAACAATGACTTCTGTGAGGTGAAAATAGTAGAGAGACTACTCAAATTTGGGAGAAGTAGTTGGAAAAAATAATATTTAACCGATTTCAAAGAATATTTTTTATTATCAATAGGTAGGAAAATATTATTAATATTTTTTGTTAGGTATTTGATATTTGTTCATATATTGTTATGAAAAAGTGAAATGAAGCTTCTTAACAGAATACTTAAGCACAAAGAGTTTGACTTTTTTAGCATAGATTTTTTTCCTTTTGGGAAAAGAGGAAAACAATTTAATAGATTAGGAGTAATTTAGTTACATAGCAGAAATAGGGTACAAATGTGAGAAAAGTGAAAACATTAGGGGTCGTTTAGAATTATCTAGAAAAAAAGGAAAAAAAAAAAAAGGAAAGCTCTCTTTTCCAACAAGAAACATAGAGATATAATTTGCGAAAATCTCTGCTCTTTCAGATCCCATTATCACATATCGATCTCTCTCAGAGAAAAACACACACACAAAAGAAGAAGAAAAAAAGCTCTCAACTTTCTTCGATTCTAAGGGGACTCGTTCGTTAATCATGTCTACCCCAGCTGAATCTTCAGACTCGTAAGTACTCAGATCTCTTGTTTTGGTTTTCCGATCGGGAAATTTCGGATCTCTTTTCTTTAAGTCTGGGTTTTTTTAATTTTATTTTGGGTATTAGGGTTTTTGGTTGATCTTGTGTTTTAAAAGTTGGAATCTTTGATTGTGTTATAGGAAATCGAAGAAAGATTTCAGTACTGCTATTCTGGAGAGGAAGAAGTCTCCGAACCGTCTTGTCGTCGATGAGGCTATAAACGATGATAACTCCGTCGTATCTCTTCACCCTGCGACCATGGAGAAGCTACAGCTCTTCCGTGGTGATACCATTCTCATCAAGGTTTGGTTTTTCTTTTTTGTCCGTTTGGATTCTCTATTGATTGAGTGGTCGGTTTCCATCTCTATGCAAGGGACATAAACTAGGGGTTTTTTCCTCCCATCGATTGATGTATTCTTCTGTGTTTCTGCTTAAACTAGGGTTTATGATCTTGGGTATTATACAATATAAAGGGACTTGCTTTTGTGTGTTTGAATTGGTCCTGTCTCTATGAGTGATGTTTGTTTGTGTGGTCTCTGTTTGTTCTTATTTGGTTTGGCTTTTGGCTTTCAGGGTAAGAAAAGAAAGGACACTGTGTGCATTGCTCTTGCTGATGAATCATGTGAGGAACCAAAGATCCGAATGAACAAAGTAGTTAGATCTAACTTGAGGGTTAGACTGGGAGATGTTATTTCTGTTCACCAATGCCCAGATGTCAAGTATGGAAAACGTGTGCACATCCTGCCAGTTGATGATACCGTTGAAGGGGTTACTGGAAACCTCTTTGATGCTTACCTGAAACGTAAGTAGGCTTGTGTGTTACATAGATCCTAATGTAACTATACAAGTTTTCATTTTTTCCCTTGGAGGTTCTTGTTTGTTTGATATTATCAGAGTGATTTTTATATGAATTTGCTTTTTTTACAGCTTATTTCCTGGAGGCATACCGCCCAGTGAGGAAGGGTGATCTCTTCCTAGTCAGAGGTGGAATGAGGAGTGTGGAGTTCAAAGTTATAGAGACCGATCCTGCTGAATACTGCGTGGTTGCTCCAGACACAGAGATTTTCTGTGAGGGCGAGCCTGTGAAGAGAGAGGATGAAGAGAGGCTAGATGATGTAGGTTATGATGATGTTGGTGGAGTCAGGAAGCAGATGGCTCAGATCAGGGAACTTGTTGAACTTCCATTAAGGCATCCACAACTATTCAAGTCAATTGGTGTTAAGCCACCAAAGGGAATTCTGCTTTATGGACCACCTGGGTCTGGAAAGACTTTGATAGCTCGTGCCGTGGCTAATGAAACAGGTGCCTTTTTCTTCTGTATCAATGGACCGGAGATCATGTCCAAACTGGCTGGTGAGAGTGAGAGCAACCTCAGGAAAGCATTTGAGGAGGCAGAGAAAAATGCGCCTTCGATCATATTCATTGATGAGATTGACTCTATTGCACCAAAGAGAGAGAAGACAAATGGAGAGGTCGAGAGGAGGATTGTGTCTCAGCTCCTTACGCTCATGGATGGACTCAAATCGCGTGCTCATGTTATTGTCATGGGAGCAACCAATCGTCCCAACAGTATTGACCCAGCTCTAAGAAGGTTTGGAAGATTTGATAGGGAGATCGATATTGGGGTTCCTGACGAAATTGGTCGTCTTGAAGTGCTGAGGATTCATACAAAGAACATGAAGCTTGCTGAAGATGTAATTTTCTAATTATATATATATCCCTTGCCTGTGTTTGTTGAGTATAATGTTTATCGAATTCTAAAATTTTATATGTGGTTATTTTATTACAGGTGGATCTTGAAAGGATCTCAAAGGACACGCATGGTTATGTCGGTGCTGATCTTGCAGCTCTGTGCACAGAGGCTGCCTTGCAATGCATCAGAGAGAAGATGGATGTGATTGATTTGGAAGATGACTCTATTGATGCTGAAATCCTCAATTCCATGGCAGTGACCAATGAACACTTCCACACTGCTCTCGGGAACAGCAACCCATCTGCCCTTCGTGAAACCGTAAGTATTGACAATACTCTGCTTAGAACAAGATGGAAGCCGAAACTTTTGCTTAATTCTCATTCCAAATTTTCCTTTTGGCCTATCAGGTTGTGGAGGTTCCCAATGTCTCATGGAATGATATTGGAGGTCTTGAGAATGTTAAGAGAGAGCTCCAGGAGGTAATTCTTTTTTTACTTGAATATGTCCATTAGTTAAAGCTAAGCTTGTTAGTTTCTTTCTTGCTTGGATCTGTCTGTTAATTGTAAGCTAAGTTGTGTGATTGTTCAAATGCAGACTGTTCAATACCCAGTTGAGCACCCAGAGAAATTTGAGAAATTCGGGATGTCTCCATCAAAGGGAGTCCTTTTCTACGGTCCTCCTGGATGTGGGAAAACCCTTTTGGCCAAAGCTATTGCCAACGAGTGCCAAGCTAACTTCATTAGTGTCAAAGGTCCTGAGCTTCTGACGATGTGGTTTGGAGAAAGTGAAGCAAATGTCCGGGAAATCTTTGACAAGGCCCGTCAGTCTGCTCCATGTGTTCTCTTCTTTGATGAGCTCGACTCCATTGCGACTCAAAGAGGAAGCGGAGGCGGAGGTGATGGAGGCGGTGCTGCAGATAGAGTCTTGAACCAGCTTTTGACTGAGATGGATGGAATGAACGCCAAGAAAACCGTCTTCATCATCGGCGCAACCAACAGACCGGACATCATCGATTCAGCTCTTCTTCGTCCTGGAAGGCTCGACCAGCTCATTTACATTCCACTACCAGATGAGGATTCCCGTCTCAACATCTTCAAGGCCTGCTTGAGGAAGTCTCCTATTGCTAAAGATGTAGACATCGGTGCCCTTGCTAAATACACACAGGGATTCAGTGGTGCTGATATCACTGAGATTTGCCAGAGAGCTTGCAAGTACGCCATCAGAGAAAACATTGAGAAAGTAAGTCATCCCTAAATTTCTAATCTCTCTAATCAAATTTGCAACAGTCTAATATCTGATGTCTCTTGGTTTTTGTTTCAGGACATTGAAAAGGAGAAGAGGAGGAGCGAGAACCCAGAGGCTATGGAGGAAGATGGTGTGGATGAAGTATCAGAGATCAAAGCTGCACACTTTGAGGAGTCGATGAAGTATGCGCGAAGAAGTGTGAGTGATGCAGACATCAGGAAGTACCAAGCCTTTGCTCAGACGCTGCAGCAGTCTAGAGGGTTTGGTTCTGAATTCAGGTTTGAGAATTCTGCTGGTTCAGGTGCTACCACTGGAGTCGCTGATCCGTTTGCCACTTCTGCAGCGGCTGCTGCGGATGATGATGATCTCTACAATTAGTGATAACGTCATGGGATTATCCTTTTTTATGAACGTTTTAAAACTCGAATTCTCTACTTTTGAATTACTGGGAAAGTGATACTGATTCTTTCCTCGTGTTTTTAAGTTATCCGAATCTCTCGTGTTTGGGTTTTAAATCAATGTTAAGTTCGTTTCACTCCTTTTTTATTCATCACCAATGGAAAACACAAGAATTACAAACGAAGTAAAAGAAAAAATACACTTTCTGTGTCACTGCATTGATAAGTTCATGTGGCATATTCCCAAAATATCTGCAAATTCATCCTCATACGTTATAACCCTATAACATTGTTTTGTTTTCTGCAATATTACAGAGATAATAGAGGGTAAAGGATGCTTTATTAATCAACAACACTGATGTCAAGATAACAACAAATGCTGCTCCCAAAGTCTTAAACATAATTGAACATAGTAGGCTACATGTTGAAGATTGAAGAAGAACATGCTTAAAACGATATGAATCTATTCGGGTTCTTGTTCCAGCTTTGAACGTTAAATACTTCAAATCATTAGCCTTCAGCGCCTATTCCACGTACTCTGGGACGTCTGACGGCGACCAGCGGATTGACTATGCCTTGTGACTCTCTTCCCAAACCCGAGCCTTCGACAAAACCCATTCTCGCCATCATCCTCGACCCAAAACCAGTTGTGTGCTGCTCAAAGGCTCCTAATCTTTTGTCTCTAATTCTTCCGGAACTAGAGGCACCATTGTCATGGGAAATGTGTTTTGCATGTTTGCCAGAGGAAGAAGATCTGTTCCGTTTTGCGTTGTTATTACTTGACGGACTCGTGTCTTCAGTGTCAATAGAGAAATCCAAACCTAAGCCAAGAGATTTTGGACGTTGAACAGCTTCTATTGGCTGTGAAATCCCCTTACCATCCTTTCCTAGACCACCTCCATCTATGAATCCCATTTTCGCCATCATTTTGGATCCAAAGCCTCTGGTGTGTACCTCGAATGCTCCAATGTCTGCTCCATTAGAGGTTCCCGGAGTAGTTTCAGCTACCTGTTTTGCATCTTTTGCACCAGAGGTATTTGCAACAGCTATCTCAGAATCGATTACGCCACTTGACACAAATGATACAGGTTGATCAGCATATGAACTCTTCTTCCCGTTGCTTTGGTTTCTCTCCCGTTCCTCTCTAGTAGTTCGCTTTTTGGCTGAGTCTTTTGCTTTCTTCCTATCTAAACTTCCAGATTTCCCTTTTACCCCTCCACCGACAGCAAAATCATCATCCTCATATCCTGCTCCTATTAGCTTCGCGATGCGAAGTTTATCGCTGGCAGATGGCATACATGTCTGATATGTTCGAGTCACTGTCACGAAGCTTTTCTTTCCAGAACCACTGCAACTACTTGATAAGCGGTATACATCTGCTAATCGTCTTACCTGAGAGCAATCTCGATTATGCATACACTGGAAACAGTGCATGTCCACATTTTCCAGAACAAAACTCTCTAATTGAGAGTTAATATCAGTAAGGTCAACACCACGCTGCAACATTCTCTCACGGCGCTTCACAGCAATGTATTCTTTGCGGTGTTTCTTCTTCTCACCAGGAAAATTACGGGACTTCTTGCTCTTTTGTGTCCCTGAAGGCCAAGACTGGGGAAACTTAGCCACCTCTTTCTTCTTATTCTTCTTCCCCGAAAGACTTCTTGGATCTTTCACAAACATAAGATCATCCATTGTAAATGGATGAGTAGACTTACCCTGCCCCGAGAAACGGCTTCTTGTCGTCGTCTTCTTACCATATTCCATCGAAGCTTTTTGCAGACCAATACCCGTCAACTTTCTTGTCTTTCGATCAGAAGAATCACTTGAAGAACTATCAGAACTTGACAAATCCAATTTATCCAATGATTGTTCAGCCAACCAATGAGCATCCAACATAATCTCACTGCCACCAATACCTTCCAAGTAATCCTTTGCAACAGCATCATCAATCTCGGAATTACTTCCAAACATGTCTTCCGAGCTGTCACTCTGAGATGATTCAGAAGAGCCAGTGCTGCCTTCATCTCCAGAATCATCATCATCATTGGACCCTTCTTCTCCATCACTCTCTTCACCAGATATATCTTCAGTGTATAATTTCATCCCTCCAATAGAAATGAAACCCAAATTCCTTTTAGGTGTTTTCACAACGTCAGGCATCACTTCATCTTCATTTGCACCAGTATCAACCTCCTCCTCATGGGAAAATGAACCACCTTGATCTTCCGATGCCTTTGGAATAGAAAGGCTACCACTTGGTCCAGCATCAGAATCATCACAAAATCCCAACCCTCTATGAGACTCATCACCTAAAACAAAACTCGGTTCGTATAGGTAATCATAATTTACCTTAGTCCCTTTCGAAGAAGAAGGCGTCTGATCCAGAAATGCAACAATCTGAGTCCCCTCTGACTTCCCCAACACTATAGGATTTGAATCATCCATCTGATCAACTTCTACGCCTGATCTTCGGTCCAACCCTTCCTCAAATTCGACAGGAGGATACTGATACACAAAAGCATTACCACTGCATTTCCTTGGACCACTGGTGGAAGCAGAAGCATTCACACGATCTGTGCTTCTAAGATTCGACCCCTTTCTCGACGAGCTTCCTCCTCGAGATGGCGTCGAAAAATCAGCATCTCTTCGGTAATCGGAGAGAATGCCTCCTTCTACAAACAGAGTAGTATTATTCTGACGTCGGCGACGACCGCCTGAGGAAGACCCCGCCGGGGAATTAAAATTGGTTCTCGTGCTCTGTCCCGGAGATTTAGATTTGCTTTTTCCAGAACCACCACCACCACCGTTCGATCTTCTCCTACCACCGCCTCGCATAATTTAATAACCTAATCCCAGAAAACCCTAATTTGGGGAAGACGACGATGAAATCATAAGAGGAATCAGATCTTCTTTATTAATGTTCTTCCCCAAAATGAAATGGGCCACGTAGTTAAAACGATGGGTTTCGTGTCGTTTGGTTCCTCTCTTCGAGGATCTAATTGTTGGATATTCGAGGAAAGATGTGGCCCTAAATCGAAGAAGAAGTATTTCTAAATTGACCCCTAGGTTTTCTTCTATTTACAAATACATTCCAGGATATTTCAATTGCTGTTATCAAACAGAAGTTTAGTAGAAAGATAAATCGCCGGAGAAGATAAAGTCATAAAAACACAGAGAGCGACTGAGCAGAGAGAGAATGGAGAAGTACTTTGGGAACGCGTACAGGGGTGATCCAGGAGTGCCACATGCTGATGCGGATCGGTTTGTGAATATATGGATTGGTTCTGCTGCTTTCTCCGTCCTCACCTGGGTTAATCCTTACATGTGGCAGCTCTCCAACCAGTTCAAGTATATTTCTCGCTCTCTCTCTTTCATCATCGAATTCGAATTTTGAGGGCTTTTAGTGTTCCGTGTTTGGTTTCTCTTTCAATGTGAGTGGTGTCTAGGTTCGGAATTAGTTCCTATTTCATGTGTTTGGTTCTTTTATGGCTTTGCTTTAGCGAGAATTAGTTTCGGTATAGCCTTTGATTCTTTAATGTTTGATTAGTTTCCGCTACATTAGATACATTACTTTGATGTCTTTTTGGCGAACTGGATGAACTTGTTATCATAGGCATAGCTAAAAAGTAAAAACCTCAGGTTGGTTCCATATCATCTTATAGTTGAGGGAGTGTTTGGTCCTATGGAGAGTTGAAGACTGTAACTTCATACTTCATAGCCTCCCCTTGTTCATTTCTGTACTTGTTTGATGCTATGTTTGGATTCACGAGAGTTAGTAATGTTTGATCAACTGTGTTTTAAGGTCTTGTAGATTTTTAATAAGCATGTTTGTAACGATTCTCTCGTATTCTCTAATATGGCAGTTATCATGACAAGTGGATGCTGTTTGAGCAGTACCACTGGAAAAAAGCAAGGGCAAAGAATCAGCCTTACGAATTCAAGGTTCATACTTTAGCCTAAGAACTGGATCTTTTTTTTCCATAATATAACCAATGGTAACATTGCTCACAAGTTTATTTGGTTCTTCTCTTTTGTTACTCAGTGGAATAAGATACCGAAAGAAGTCAGGGACTCGTATTATTACAACTGGCCTGTCTACTTCCCATAGAAGTCTCTGTGTTGCTCCCCGGCTTGTGAATCAGAAGAGATGCCAAATACTTGTAGAACTTCTGTGGAATCTTGGCTCTATCTCTTCTTTGTTCTGTTCTTTCTAGTGCGCTTTTGAGTTCTTTTTGTAATGACCACTCACTCAACTCTTTTCTGTTTAAACTCCTCTGGTCAAATCTCTTATGCCATTATCGAAAATTTGAAACTCACTCTTTTAAACTCAGGACCAGAATCTATCTGATATGATCACCATTACCACCTTACAGTTTTTGTGTTCTTGTACTTGGGAACCAGTGCTGTGTGTGGTCTACAATGCTTGCTAATAACTGAAACACTGACTAATGTATAAATCGGTCATGGTTAATGCTGGTTTAGTTTTGTACCCAAATGTCTGCCTGCAATAGAAAAATTGCTTAATCTATGGAGAAAATGGCTCCAATGAAGCTGGAATAAAGGTGTGTAATATCAAGCTGCTTACGAAAACCCCTCATCCAAATAAGTGTTAAAGAGGTAAAAAAAAAACTGAGTAAGAAAAGAATTTTCAACTAACAATGTTTTTCTACAATCTAAAATCAAGACTCTCTGCATCCCTGTAGAATCTTCTGTACTTCTTCCGGCTGGCAGGGAATGGTCAGAGGACCTCTGAGTTGGAACCCGAACTCCTCCCTCGCCTGCTCGAGCAGCCTCAGAAACTCAGGTTTGTTCAACTCTTCAAGCTCCAAAATAAACCTCTTAGCTCTCTCTCCTTCAACAGCAATCACCGCTACATGTCCTTCCTTCACATCGCTTGGGATCATCCATGCGGCATTACCCTCTTCCTCGAACTCACCACAATGCCCGACCCTTTTGGAGAATCTAGTGAACAAGCAGCAAGTTTGTAGCTTTCTCACGAAAATCTTGAAGTTTTTGCACATTCTCAAAACGTCAACAAGCCCTGGTTGGAGTTACTGCATTGTGTTTGGTTATAGAGAGTCTGGAGTTTATATACTTGACGCTGATGTCGACACTCATGGTTAGGATGTTTCCGAGAGATTTCTTGATCACAACATTTAATGCAGTTCCTCATTTGTGTGTTTCAGCTGTTCTCTATCTTTGCTCTCCCTCAGAATCGTGGGGCCTCTTATAGAACACGCTTCTGCAGCCCAAAAAGTGTAACTTCACACCTCTTTCCTTTTTAATTAAGATAATTGATTGCTCTGTTTTCTTTGCTAAGACGAAATATACTAATTCATCAAATGGTAGACTTGTGTATTGCACAAATAAAGTTACTAAAACCAAAAAGGACTTTGATTTTAGGTTTTTCACTAAACTTGAGACATCTTGAAGAATCACATACATGTACATGTTCGGTTTCTTGTATAAATATTACAGTGGTCAACGATAAATACTTGTAGTTAGCTATAGTTGTATACATAGATATTTGAGACGTACCGACACATAAAAGAAGTGAAGAAATTGTCATTATCTAGAGTAGATTATTATCGCATACAGTACATGTCAACTACCTCGTGGTCTGGTCTGTACGGAATCATTAAATGTTTGTTCAAAATCTCTTAACACCGTTCCGTAAGACTTCAGAGTTCAGTCTCCCCGTTCTTGATTCCTCCCTTCATATTTTTATTTGCATGCCCTACCAAAAAAGTACCAAACTTTTGTTCATGATTCCTCCCTTATGTTGTATTAACCATTGAATTAAAAGAGTATAAAATAAGAAATTATTTTACACACGACATTGGTAATATTGGCCAATGGTAAAATATTCGTTGCTTAGATCGATAAAGACATTGGTAATATCTTGAAAATAAACGCCTTGAGTTTGTATGGTAGGAAAAGTCATAAGAGTCGGTGAACGGAAAGACATTTGAATCTCTCATGATGATTATGATCCAATCCTTAGAGTCAACTCACTTTGACCGGACTTGATATTCTCAATATTGGCACCGGATCATTGTATCTTCTATCAAAATAAAAGCCTATAGTAAAAAGATTCATCGACGTTATTTATTTCAGAGAAGAACTCTGTTTAAGTGTCAACCCTTGCTCGGAGAACTCTTTGTAGACGTAACGTAAGGATTGTTCCAAATCAAGTGGATTCATCTTCTTTTCGTTTATCAAGCGTTGTTGTCTGTCTCATGTGAGTGCGATGACAGTATGGACATTTTAGACTGTGGAGACTTAGTCTAGTTTGAGGCGTTTCATTACAAACAAACTTATTGCAACAACTCAATAGAGTGGCCTGCGACTTTGGTTGAACCGAACGGAGCCCATTAGTTCGGTTATTTAAGATTTCAAAATTCTACCGAAATTAATTATGGTTTGGCTCGGCTTGGTTTGAGCTTAAAACCCGAAAGTAACTGTATCGGTAACTCGACGAAAATAAATGGAAGAGCGATACACCCCTGCTAGGAACATTTTCTGAACTGTACAACTAGTGTTCGGGCCGTCTCTATGCTAGGGAAGGCTACAAGCAAATTAAAAATAATGGGTTGCATATAAGCGTCGAACTGGTGACCTCGAACTGGTGACCTCTAACCCTCGAAGAAAGGTTTATACCACTACACTAAAGAGATTTTTTCAAAAATAGGGCCGAAAATGTTATATAAAAGGAAGGGCCGCAAGCATATGATTCATGGGCTTGGCCTTTGGGCCGGCTTCTCCGTATCAAGTTTCGAAGGACTATATACATCAGACAAGCAAAAGAAGAAACAAGGGACAAAGTAAGAATTATTTATGGTAACTAGTTCACAAAAGATTAAAAGCAAATAAGAGACTTATGTTTGTACTTCCAGTTATTGCTGATACAAAGCTTTGTTGTTGATCCTATTTGTATATGCGAAATGCTCGTTGATCTGTAGCTTCGAGAGGCTGGCTATCAGAGAAAGGGTGATTAAATAAGTTGACACCTTTGCTCTAACGAATTCCAACGAAATCTGCTCCCTTTCTTATACGATATCTTAATTCATCTGAAATATTATTGTTTTTCGAGTTTTATGCTCTTATTGTCCTGTAAAATCCAGTTTTGTGCAAATATTTTTATTGTTTGGGTTTGGTTGGATCTATTTTTAAAATGAAAAGTGAGATAATGGCGGGAGGGGACATTTGTAACTACCAAGAACCAAGAAGCATAAGAAGGACATAGTCTCTACTCTCTAAATGCAAGATGGTAGTACTTGGGGACATTATCTAAAACGTGAGAGGATAATAGACAGGACAAGACATAATCTAAATCCAACTGATACGAGGACGGGACATGATCAAAATGCGAGGTACAGGACAATCCCAAATTATACTAGTAATGGGGTGTTGTTGGAGGAAGCCATAAGAGGCGATGACGGAGAGGCGAGTCGGAGAGGTAGCGGATGGTGCGAGAAGCGAGATCGCAGACGCCAAAACCGGAGCGGCGACCAGCAAAGTAGACAGAGTTAGGTTTGAGGCCGGGATAGTCGCTAGCGGAGAGACAAAATGGTTCGTTCTCGCCCACAAAAATGCAGAGATCACCGATGTCCTCAGTGTATGGACCAATCCCTTTCTCGGCGTCTTGCCTATAGACCCTGATCTTGCGAGTCATAACAACAAGGTCGTCCTGGTTCTGGTTGTATATTTCGTCTTTCCATTCCACAGCTTCTCCTTTCCCCGTAAAGCGATCCAGACCCCTGTGACACACAAAACACGTACGCATGCAAGCATATAGAGATTCATCAAACAATGCATAAAAGAAGTATATTATAAGGAAAACAGAGATGAACAACAAAACATATAGAAGAATAATTTACCAAAGAACGATGAAGGACTCGCTGGAAGGAGACTGGACTAGTAGCTGGTGGACATTGAGACGTTGGATATCCAAAGCGTTCTCCGATATGGGAGAGTTAGACAAGGGGAACCTCACGTAGCCACTGACCGGGGAGACTAGACCGGATTTAGAGGTGAAGTCGGTCGGGCCAGTGTAGTCAGAGCTGACACTGTTCACGAAGAACTTCCGGTGTCTGTCTGAGTACATGACGGGAGATAAACGGAAGGCAGGGCAAGGCACGTCGATGCGAGTCCACTCCGAGTCACCGAGTCGACACAGACTGAGCCTAGACCCGTCAAACCTCGCGGCGACTACGAAATCGTCGTGGGAAGAGGATGATACAGAGACATTGAAAAGGCTTTCGGCTTCGTCTTTGATTAAAGGAGGTAGAGTGATGGTCTTGGAAGGGTTGTTGTTAAAGATGTTGGTGAGACGCACTGTAGAATCGTGTTTGTTCAGCATAGCTAGCCATCCTCTCGACGATCCTATAGCCGAGGACTTACGGAGATCCTTGGACAGAACCTGATTCTCGAACTGCATTTGCTCTTCTTTCCTCGGATCATACAAGTTATAGTTGACAACGCTTCCGCCGCAAGAAGATTTTCCGACCACATCTCTCCCGAGGAACAGGTAAGGAGTCGGAGTCGTCGAGAAATCCGACCGGCTGAAACAGAGCCTACGCTTTAGGGGAGATGATGAAAGCTTGGAGATCCGGCCGAAAAGCTGAGACATTCTTCTTAGAAGCCCTAGATTACTTGTCGAGAGAGAGAGAGATCAATTCCAAAGATGCAATAAACAACAGATACTTCTAATGTACACAATATATCTTCTTAACTAATTCCATTTTTAATTTATTTGGAGGGAGATTCAAGAAAATGTAAAGTTTCTTTTTACTTACTGCGGCGGGAATACAACAAACTGCGACGAAAGATCACAAGTAAAGTACCCCCATGTTTCCAAAATGATCCCCACAACTTGTAAATTTGGCAGAAGAAGTCCTTCGGAAATCGGTCTAAATTGTAAAATCTAGGAAAGCAATCCAAACAACAATAAAAAGAGTGTAAAAATTCAAACTAATTATGTCGCGAACCACCATCTAATGTTACTTTTTTTTCTTGGTCGTCTCCAATCTAAATTTAAAATTGTGAAGCCAAAAATAATAATTAAATCATCCAAAATACTTTCACTTTTTTTTGTTTGTTTGTTTGTTGTTGTTGGTAGTGGAATAAAAGAGAGATAATCTATCGTAAACAAAATAAATGGCTAAATGTTAAATAAATAAAACATACGAAAAATAGGGGCACTCAAATTGTAATATTTTGCTCTGTATCTATTTTTGATTTTTAGTCCCTTTGTTTCCAGGCTATCTCTCTCTTTCTCGTTTCTTTTCCTGAATTGATTGATCGCCGGGAAATCTTAGCCGTCCGATCAACAATCGTATACTCCCGAGAAGATCTCTTCTATCAGTCCCAATGGTCTGATTTTCACCAACCCCTCCTCAGATCTCCGATAACACTCCGGTATCATTTCTAAGGCCACAACTTCATTTATCGGCGGGATTACGAAACTGATGAGCCTTGCTTGATCCAGGAGAGGCATAGAGTGGAGTCTACCTCTGATGAGCCTTGCTTGATTCGAATCTGAATACTCAGGGTTTTAATTCGTCCTTCGTTCACTTCTGAGCTCTTTAGCTTAGTGAAATCTCCTCGTCTTAGAAACTTAGGGTTTCTAGTTTGTGGGCAGAAAAGAACAGTGTGCTTCTTTTGAGTTTCTCTGCTCTTAGCTGCGTCAGCCATGTTTAAGAAAATCATGAAAGGTGGGCATCGAAAGCCCTCTAAATCCGAAGCTAATGAACCTTCTAGTTATGGTATTGGTCCTCCGGGTAGGCCAGGTCCTGGGTCCAATGTGGTTGTTAGTCACGCGTCTCGTGGTGCATTGGTTAATTCGTCTCCGTCGCCTGGGGCGGCTACTTCACCACCTCCGCCTATGGGCTCCGTGGAGCCACTCCCCTTGTTCAGAGATGTGCCTGTTTCGGAGAGGCAATCCTTGTTCTTGAGGAAACTTCAGAATTGCTGTTTCCTGTTCGATTTCACTGACACGATTAAGAACGCCAGAGAGAAGGAGATTAAGAGGCAAACGTTGTTGGAGTTGGTTGATTTTATACAGTCTGGATCTAGTAAGATCTCAGAGTCGTGTCAGGAAGAAATGATTAAGATGATTTCTGTTAATATTTTCCGGTGTCTCCCTCCAGCTTCACATGAGAATACTGGCCAAGAACCTGCAGATCCTGAGGAAGAGGAACCTTATTTGGAACCTTCTTGGCCTCATTTGCAGCTAGTGTACGAATTGCTACTGAGATATGTCGTTTCTACTGACACGGATACAAAGGTCGCTAAACGGTATATCGACCATTCTTTTGTGTTGAAGTTGCTTGACTTGTTCGATTCTGAGGACCCGAGAGAGAGGGAGTATTTGAAAACCATTCTTCATAGGATATATGGGAAGTTTATGGTTCACAGGCCTTTTATTAGGAAAGCAATCAACAACATATTCTTTAGGTTTATTTATGAGACAGAGAGACACAGTGGGATTGGGGAACTCTTGGAGATTTTAGGTAGTATCATAAACGGGTTTGCGTTGCCTATGAAGGAGGAGCACAAGCTGTTCTTAATCAGGGTGCTGATACCATTGCATAAGCCAAAACCAATTGTTGTATATCATCAGCAGTTATCTTATTGCATCGTTCAGTTTGTGGAAAAAGATTATAAACTGGCGGATACAGTAATCAGGGGATTGTTAAAGTATTGGCCCGTGACAAACTGCGCGAAGGAGAATCTCTTCCTTGGAGAACTTGAAGAAGTTCTTGAGGCAACACAGCCTGTCGAGTTCCAGCGTTGCATGGTTCCGTTATTCCAACAGATTGGTCGCTGCCTCACGAGCTCTCACTTTCAGGTTAGTATGAGTTGGTTTTTCTTTTTAATCTCGTAGGGGAAGGCTCATCTATGCATATCACCTCAACTATGGAGATTTAATTATTTACTATTATCTGTGCAATAAGTCACAATATATTAAGCATATTGATGCATTGTATATTTTTTGCTGCGTGCTAGTGTCTTGTATCATCAAGTTTATGGTGCAAATTGTTTTTTACTTGTTGCTTGCTTCTTTCTCCATTTCTGCCATACTGCTGAATTTCTTTTCAAAAAATTATTAGAATGATGTTGTCTAATCATTTGAAAAAATTATTAGAATGATTATCTCATGCTGCTGATAGCTACTGGTCTGATTAAATCCATGGATCTTACATCATTAGTCATTTCAAAATTCATGGAACGAATTAACTCTCTGAATGTATTGACGCTGTTGATTTTGCTCTATTCACGAGTCTTGGAATTCGTTGCACAATGCTTTTACTCGAATAAACTTTAGTGCTTCATTAAGTTTATGATGCATGCTGTTTTTATTTTCTCCTTGCTTTGCCGCTTTCTTCATTTTTGCCACACTGTTCATTTTCATTTCACTACATTATTATCTTGATGTTGTTGGCACTACTCTCATTATGTTGATGGGTTATCTCAAGCTGTTGATAGCTACTACTCTGATTAAATCTTTGGTTTCTTCAATCATCTTTATTTTCCATGATACAGTATTTCAAACTAAATGCATTGACACTGTTGCTTTTGCTTTATTCACGAGTCATGGAATTCTACTGCACAGTGCTTTTACTTGGAGTATAGTGGGAAAAAGGAGACACGAACATCTTTCTCTATGTGATATCCATTTGTGTGTTTAGACTGGAGCATATTTGATATCCTTGGTTCTAATCACAAGTCTATGATTAATTCTCACTGATTGCTAGCAACTACAGAAGTTTCCTATTATGTATTTTTGCCATTGCTCAGAAATTTTCTGTAATTTTTTGTGGGGTTTGCGTAAATATTTACATACATGTCTCAAAAATTTGATACAGGTTGCAGAACGGGCGCTGTTCTTGTGGAACAATGAGCACATCGTGGGTCTAATCGCGCAGAACCGAAGCGTGATCCTTCCAATCATATATCCTGCACTGGAGAAGAACATCCAGTCTCATTGGAACCAAGCAGTTCATGGCCTAACCACAAATATCAAGAAAATGTTCATGGAAATGGATCCTGAACTCTTTGAAGAATGCCAGAGACAGTATGAAGAGAAACAAGCAAAATCTAAAGAAGTGGAAGAACAACGACAATATACATGGAAGAGATTAGCAGAAGTTGCGGTGGAGCGAGACGGAGGAGGAGAAGAAGATCATATGATCACTTCCTAGATCGATCAAAAGGGTATTATTATTCTTTCACTTTTCTTTTTTTTTTGGGTTTGGTTCTCATTTAATCAAATCGTTCACTATTAATTTTTCTTTATCGATCTTCTTCGATTTGATTTTGTTTTGAGAATCATCGGTTAAAATTTGATAGCTCAGAGAAGAAGTAGAGAGAAGTGAGCTATTATTACTGAATATGTTAGTAGTAAGAATGTGTTTGTGATCTTCTGTCTAATTTTTTTGTATCCGTGGAAGGCACTTTAAATTTGTAAAATTTGAATTATATAATACTACTGGATGTTTGTAGCTTGTGTTACTACTTATTACTAAGTACTAGCCATCTCAAATCCAATTTAGCTTTCTTGTTTTGTCCCTTTGTCTTACTCTTATAACGAAGAAAATAAATTGGATTTTCAAACAAAGTTTCTTAGAGGATTTTCTCTGTACTTGTGTTATTCAAAAGTTTAATTTTATTTTATAGCTAACAGTGTTTAATTATCCTTTTAACTCTTCAGCTGATCCAGGACAATGTAACAGGTTTTACTATCCACATGATTTATTATCCGCATAAAAGGTTTGCATGAGTAGTGTCACTCAGTGTAATGACAATGATCCTGAAATCGTTAACAATAGTTGCAACCATAGCTACTCACAATTTAACAGTTTTTCTGATTCCTGCATTTCCAAAAAGACAACAGTGAGTGTTTTTTTTTTTTTGGGTCTTTTGAGTTGAGCTAAACACTATATGTCTATATCTAATTATAATTCTGAACTCTCCATATGATTGAATACTGGAAAAAAATATCAATTTGATATCATATAGATCGTCTTCATTATTCATATGATTAATTCAAAGCACCTAATGTCAAGACAACAACAAACAATATATAAATTTCAAAACAAAACAAAAAACAGTTAAAAATATATTTTTATCTTCGCTCCAGAATTTCTTACTAACGTAAAAACTTAAAAGTGACTCATAAACTATGACTTTACATGCAATTTAAGTAATAATTATAGTTAAATTAGTTATATGCAATTCTTCTTTAAAAAAAAAAAATACTAAGAGAAAACCTAATTTTTTTTAATAGAGAGTAGTAGGCTTATTGCACGGCGGCGAAAGAGAGAGGTTGACTACTACTACAATGGCTGTTCCAAGAGGAGGCAATGGCTCGATGGAAGAAGACGAAGTTGACGGAGATAACACTCTCTTCGAGGAAAACGGTGGTGACTACGACAGCGATCCCGAGCTTCCCTCTCACATCCGTGACTTGGCCGCCGCTGCTCAGTCCGGTGACGTTGCCGCCTTGCGCACCGCCATCGGTACTTCCCTTGCTGCTTTTAACCAATACCTTTAATTTGTAGACTCGTAGTGGTCATCGTTTGCTGAGAAACCTATGATTAGTGTCTTTTTTTTTGGGGGTTAAAAACTTACAGTTTTCAATTCATCTTCAATTGCGTATTGCGTGATTAGCTGGTCAGGGCGTAAAGCCTCACGCTTTTTGTGGAACCACTAGATTTTCCATCTTCAAAACCAGCGATAGTTTTCTCGACACAATTTTCCCACTATCATTGCAGAAGATACTTCTAGTTTTATCTTTGTCTCATCTTTCTTCTCTTCCTCTTAAAGCCATCTACCTTAAGGTCTTCATCTTCCATTTCACTCCCATCTTAGCCAGCAACCTCACTGGTTTGTTTGTTGTTTGCTCTCTTTACTTAGTTTCAGTTAGGAAGGATAAGAGAAAACTGTAGTTTATGCCTATGTGTATTCCTTGACGCTGTGATGGACCTGACAGAAGATTTGCACACTCTTTTCAACTGATGAAAATTCTATTAGTCGATATCATTTATCTACCGGTAACAGTAATGTTATCTGATTTGCATCGTGTGGTTATGTCCTAATAGTGTGTTGCATTTTCTGCTGTTTTTGAGAAGATAATAATATTCCTTTTTCTGATTTTGATAGACAATTTGAATGGGAGAGTCGATGAGCCTCTTGAGGATAATGACTCAGCACTTCACTTGGCGTGTCTGTATGGCCACCTACCTTGTGTTCAGGTTGTTTTTATTTGTCCTGTTCTTTGCTTTGTCATTTCTCTGATAGCTAATGTATTTGTAAGAATCACTAATAGTTTAAATGATTATTACCACAGCTTCTCCTAGAAAGAGGGGCTAATATGGAAGTCAAGGATGAAGATGAAGCAATTCCTCTACATGATGCTTGTGCTGGAGGTAAAGTTGGTCATGGCCATACCATTCTTTTGATATTTCTGCCTCGCTGCATGGTCACATTCTATGACTTATTGTTCTTTCTGTTTAACTTGAGCTCCACAGGATACTTGGAAATAGTACAGCTTCTTTTTAGCCGAGCTAGTGGTCCTGAATCTGTGAAGAGAATGATAGAAACAGCCGATATAGAAGGTGACACTGTAAGTATTCTCCATCTTCAAGTGTCATATTCTCTCTATCTCTCTTTCTCGATTCTGTGATTCATCACAAAGTGTTTCTTGGTCACAGCCTCTGCATCATGCAGCAAGAGGTGAGCATGTTGATGTGGTTAGGTTTTTGCTGGGTTCTGGTGCTTCACCAAGGACAGAAAACTCCTATGGGAAGGTAACATTTGAAAACACCTTGCATCTTTTGCTTTTGGAAGTATGCATGATTAGCGATAGTAACTAGGTTGTGATTATGCAGACAGCAGGCGAATTAGCTGATTTAAACACTGATGCTAGGAGGATCCTAGAAGAAGCTATAAACAACTCAACAGTATCCTAGTGATGCTCTGCGAAATCTGCAGAATCCATCGGCCAGTTTTGGCGAGCCAATGAAGAGTATTAGGGAAGGACTTATATAAATGTTAACTTTTCTTAATCCTATTTTTTTGGTGGTTTTATATACAAAGGTTTCAAAACTGATGCTTATGGATTAAGAAGGTCGTGTCTGTTTCAATCATGAAATTATGAGTGTTTTCGTTAAGCGTATAGAGAGAGGCCTTAGAGGAACAAACTCTCTTTACTTTGTCATAGTTCGAAATTGGATTCTTTGCTGGGTCGCATCGTATGTACAGCGAGACAAATAGTCTTTAGCCAATAAACACACACCTTAAGTTTTGCTATCCCGCATCTTTCTTATTCCTTAAACTAAACCCCATAACTTTCTTTATGACTCTAAAACATACCACAATTTTCGATTTGGCTGAGAAATTGAGCGAATTTTTAATAAGTTGGTGGGATAGAAGTGTGAATAACTGAGGAATAAAGAAGAAAATAGTAAAAAGTAATAAAATATGATACGACCAATGAGCAGCTTTGAACGCCACAGAGCAGCCACTAATAAACGTCTATTCTTCTTTCTGCCTTTTCCTTTCTCTCCTTTGGCTGTCTCCAAGGAAAATTTATTTTTCCGGCGAGAAAAGATTTTCCGGTGGAAAAGTGCTCGGTGGTTACTTGTAGTATCTGTTGAGAAAGAGGATAATCAAAGTGATTACGATTATCTTCTTCGATGGCAGTTGCACCGGCAAGAGCTCGTTCGGACTATGATTACCTTATCAAGCTCCTCCTCATCGGCGATAGCGGTAAGCTTAATGCCTCTCTCTTATGAAGTAATTGAACAGACGAGGTTCATGAACTATTCCATTTTTATCTGAGAATCTTCGTCCTGCCTGTTTTTCACGATCTGACTTAGGGTTTGTAATTTTGAATCTTTTTTTCTTCTTTGCGTCTTATTTAGTCGACAGAGTAGATGAAGAAAGCTATAAAGTCGCTATAGAAATCCAAGTATCGATGTAGTTCCTTTTTTGGAAGATTTGGCTCAATTGGAAATGTTAGAATCAAAATCTCATATGCTTAGATTGTGAAGTACTAAGGAAACGTTTTTTCTTCTTCTTAAAATTTGATTATGCAAGTAGTTGAAAATAAAGTTGCAAAAGTCATCTATGTTAGTTTATATAAATTTTGGTGTGAACACTTTACTTATTTTCATTTGGCGCTTTTGTGTGTGTAGGTGTGGGCAAAAGTTGCTTGTTACTGCGTTTCTCCGATGATACTTTTACCACGAGTTTCATTACTACCATTGGGTATGTCTTTCTTTCTTTCGGCTGTTTTCTTGTGTTTTTCATCTTTAACATAGTTGAAAACCTTTGCCTAAAGTTCCTTTTCTTCTCTAGAATCGATTTCAAGATAAGAACAGTCGAGCTTGATGGTAAGCGTATCAAATTGCAGATATGGGACACTGCTGGACAAGAGCGTTTTAGAACTATAACCACAGGTCTTACTGCTTTCTGCTCTGTATCTAAATATGTTTACTTGCCTGTGAAGTGAAAATCACTCTTATTTTTTTGTGTTTGAATCTGTTGATTTCTCTGTAAATGACTACTCAGCATTACAAGTCTATTCATTTACTTTCTTTCTTGTTAGTAATGCCATTTCTTTGAAACTCTGTGGTCCATTTTTCTCTTGCAGCATATTACAGAGGAGCTATGGGTATTTTACTCGTCTATGATGTAACAGACGAGTCATCCTTTAACAGTATGTCTCTGGCTTTTCTTTGTATCAGGAACTATATTTTACAATTACTTTAAAACTCACTTTTGGAAACTAACAATAATTGTTTCTCCAGACATTAGGAACTGGATGAAGAACATTGAGCAGCATGCGTCCGATAGTGTCAACAAAATATTGGTTGGTAACAAAGCCGATATGGACGAAAGCAAAAGGGTAATTTTGCTGTGTACTCTTCAAAACCTTGACCATGTTTTGCCTACATTTCGTCGTACTATACTGATGCTGCATTTTCTTCTATAGGCTGTCCCAACATCAAAGGGTCAAGCTCTGGCTGATGAGTATGGAATCAAATTCTTTGAGACGGTGAGCTTGAGAAATATTTAACATGTTTGTTTCGTCATTCATTGTTTGTTTTAAGATTTCATTTTCTTAAAACTATGTGATTGGAAACTGTTGCAGAGTGCAAAAACAAACCAGAATGTCGAGCAGGTTTTCCTTTCTATCGCGAAAGACATAAAGCAAAGACTCACAGAAACCGATACAAAAGTTGAGGTAAAGGACCACGTGGAATCTACTACTTACTTGATACTCGGGTTATGAAATTGTATACATTGCTGAGGAAAATTGAATACTGTCTTTGTTGCTTTGCAGCCCCAAGGGATCAAGATCACTAAACAAGATGCTAACAAAGCCTCATCGTCTTCTACAACTGAGAAATCAGCTTGCTGCAGTTATGTTTAGAAGTTCCATGGACATGTTTCTTCTAATTTCTTACCGTCTTTAGTCTTCTTTTCATCATTCAAGAGATCGTCCTATGTTCTTATAGTAGGAAGACAGACTTAATTGATGGTCTGTGTGATCTTATGTCTATTTTGCCATCTCCATGTCCAAACACTGTACTGAAAATGTGGTAGACAATGTTTAAGCGTGTAAACGTTGAGGTAATGCAGATGTTGTTTGTAAGCTACGGTTTCAAAGGCTCGAAAATTGGAGATTTCTTTCTTTCATTTGAGGGTGTCTTCTGATCAAATCTAAACTCTAAAGTGAACAACTATAGATAAAGCGATTGCCATAAAACATAATATATCTGTTACAGGATTAAGAAAAAAGATCAGCGTCTGAGAAGAGCCAACTGAGCAATGGATGTGTGTCTTTGTACTTTTCTCCAACGGGAACATCAAATTAACATTGAATGTGTAGTATTTCGAGATCACTGTCTCAAAGAATTTGGAGGGGTAATCTCCTCATCACTTCCCCACCAATCTCCCTTGCAGAAACTCCTCCGAAGTAACCACCGAAGTTTTTGTCTTATACAAGCGTATCAAGTTGCAGATATGGTACAAACTTTATTAACACAATCTCAGCCGAGGCAAGGAGAAAAATCTAAGAAATTGATCATTTACAAAAAGAGCCAAACTTCCTGGAAAATTTACACACAAAAGAAAAGAGGCTACTTCCAACCCGGAAAGACTATTTTGATTAATCGACTCACGAGCTGCAACAGCGGCCTTGATTAGCTCGATAATCCGGTTTTCTCTTCACAGAGCTTGAACCTTCTTCCAAAAGGCTAGGTACCTCCATTATCTGTTTCATTTAGCAACTCTCCTATTATTTACTTTCCTCAGTTTCTACCAGTTTTGAAATGAAAAGGGATCATCAAGATTCTTTCTTACCTTCAAAGCAAGCTCCTCGAAGCATTGGTTCACGTTTTCTCTGGTTCTTGCACTACATTCATGAAACAAACACTTGAGTTCTTTAGCTAGAGTCATTCCTTCTTCCCGGCTAACCTTCCTCTCAGATTCCTGTAATGACAACTATCAGTGAAACCGAGCTCAAGTTGATTTGAATACAAGTAAGTGTTACTACTACCACTACTCACTCTATCAACTTTGTTGCCAACGAGCATCTTAATGCAGTCATGGTTAGTCGAGTAGAGCTCAATCTCTTTAGCCCAAACATCTGCTAAGTTCATAAATGTCTCTCTTTTCGTCACATCATAAACTGCATCATGACCAAGTAAACACCAGAGAAAGTATTAGAAGGTCTCAAGAACTTTTACCATAACAGCTACCGGCAGTTCTAGGATCATATTATTACCGAGAATGATTCCTTGGGAGCCTCTGAAATAAGAACTAGTCAGTGTCCTGAACTTTTCTTGTCCAGCTACACAAATACAAACCAAAAAAAAATCACATGGACCATAAGTTTTGTGGTAACTAAACTACACTTTCCAAAAACAAGAATTGCTCTTTTCTTGCTATTTCGGGAAGGATTCAACTTACCAGTGTCCCAGATTGTAAGTTTCAGCCTTTTCCCTCTTACTTTCATCTGTTTGATCTTAAAATCAACACCTACAATGTTATACTGATCAGACCAGGCAGGTTAGAAAAAATAACTTAGCTTCAAGAATAACCAAGAAAGAACTCCAAGTCTCAAGTGAAGTTGACTTCATTTGAATTTTGACCAAACATTAATCAAGCTCACAAAGACACAAACTATAAGCGAGTCTTCCAATGCAAAAACATCTTGGACACAAACTCAGTTCAATTTGTTGCGGGAATGAAACAAAAAATTACCAATAGTGGGAGCAAGATCTTCAACAGAGCTGGAAATGAAACTGAGAAGCAAGCTACTTTTACCAACACCAGAATCCCCAATCAACAAGATCTTGAAAGATAGATCATATCCACTTTGCCCAGAAGAAGATCCCATTTTCTAAATTTTTACAAATCTCACTCTAAAACCCTCGATCTAATACTACAGGAGAGAACCCCCAGACATCAAATCAAATTAAACCAAACACCCACACCCACTTAACAAACAAACAAAAAAAAAAGGTGTGTTTTTTTAATTTCTGGCAAAGAATGAATCGAAAAAGAAGAAAACTTTTCCTGTGCAGAGAAATCTATGTTGGGTTCTCTAAACCCAAGCCAAAGAACATCTACAATCTATGATTCATACAAATTATGGATTCAAGATTCTTTACAGAGAAGAGATATATGGAAAACGTCTATGAATTTTGAACAAAAATAAACTTTTTAAAAACGTCAAATTCTTTTAGCTTCTTCGTCTTTCTCCGACATTTCGGTTCACGACACGTATCTGTTACTGTTTCAACATTTCTTCCAAAGCCCGTCTTTGTATCCTCCACGTGTTTGTTGCCCCCTTTTGTTTTTATTGCTTTTAATAATAAAACCAAATATCTCATGCAATCAAGCATCGCTGTAACGTTTGTTGATTACGTACGTTTTGCGGTTTGCGCGGCGTATCAGAGAAATGAAATATTAGCACAAATCGTTTTCTTACTGAAAGCTCTCAAGACTCAAGAGTCTCTTGTTATAAACAGATGAGTCTTCTTCACACGTTGACTTGTATGAATTACCAACTAGTTTTGGAACTATTAAGAACAAAAAACCTCATTCTGTTTTCAGATTCAACCATTCAAATCGAATACTCTCCAAAAGTGTTTTTTTTTCTTTTCTTCACAAAATAAGCTTTTAAGTTAGATCAAATAATTAGTAAGTGATACTAGAGAGACAGAGTCCAAAAAAAAAAACAAGGTTTAAAGCCTTGTGACGTTATTATTTAAACAGTAGCAGCAAGAACCTTCACGAAATCATAATCTCTAGAGATTGTAAGCACATGATCAAACCACTCAACTTTCCCAAACATTTCACCACTTTTTCGTCTTTTCAAGCGCAATCTTAGCACACCAAATCATCTTCTTATGAACGAAACTAGACTGACGATATAGCAAGTCCTCGTCCCATAAAACCGCTAACTTGCCAACATAATCAGCCAACCTAACAGAAACACCAGGAGGTAACGTAGGTAGTCCTACCTTCAAAAATCTCCACCTGCTGAAGTTAGGCTCAGAATCATACCATATGACCCTTCTGTTAAAAACAGAGTACAAAACCTTCTTCAAGCCATAGCCCTGCAGTCAGATCCCAACTACCTTCCTTGGGATTGTAAGCAACCATATTTCTGTTAGTCAACAACACGTGGAACTTTCCGTCAATACAAGTGCTTTTGGAGTCTGAAACGTTGTTGTATATTTTACCGCGGCAGTCAGGGACGGGCTTAGTCTCCCAAACTTGTCTTTTTCTGTCCAACATACTCTGAATTGTTATGTCCTACTACATATATCTTACGACCAAGGACGCTAGCTGAAAGTGACACTTGTTCCATCGAGAGTAATCAGGATAGCACCGTAAGCAAACATAGAGACAACTCTCGGTGTGGCCTAAGAGCGACCTCGTTTTCTAAAGCTCCGGTGAAGCTACCAGAGATCGGAAGCTCTTGGAGACGAGTGAGAGAGTTGGATAGTACAGCCTTGAGACGCGTGCGACGATGCTCAATAGCAAATCATCGGGAAGTGACGGGTTTTGGGACAACTTCTTCTTCTTCTTCTTTGTCAAGGGCTTCCTCTTCCTCTCCTTCTCCAGGGACGACGACATTGACTTGTTTACTCTCCAAGGAAGAAGTTAGGGTTACGTTTTGCGGTTTCGGCTATTCAGAAAATAAAATAGGAAAATTACTTTTTTATTTGATTATCGAAGCTCTGTTTACAACATTACTTACAACATATAATTCTTTTTTTCTCTCTACAAAACAAAAACATAACTGTACTCAATTCTTTCTCTATGAGTTGACGTTGTTCTGTGGGAATACTTTCTTGATGAACTCAAGAAAACGTTGGGAGTAGAATGTGGGATCAACGGCTGAGATCGAAAGAGAATCGAAATGAAGAGACTTGTACGCGTGCTCGATCTTCTTGGTCATGTTGTACTCTTGTAAGATGTCTATAATGCCAAGGTAGAGCACGACGTCGCAGCAGTCATGTAAAATCTGCTTATCTTTCTCTTCTCTTCCCGGTATCAGCTCTGCTCTTGCCGGCATGTTCACTCCTTGCTGTATCTGCAGCCTGCATTTATGCACATATATTCTCAAAAACTGTTTCAAGAAGATGCTTTTTATTTGTATTCTTAACATAACTGCAGGTGTTTCAGTGCTAGTTTCAATATGAAATTGAGCACCATTGATCCTCATATGTTAAGTTAAGTCTTAGTGTCAGTTGTTGAATGAGTTGAGAGTTAGTTACCTGGCTGTTCCAGGAAGAAGGAGATCGACTTCTTCATCACCAACAGCAGATGCCCGTAATCTGCTGCCTCTGATGTGAGGGCCAGTTACAATATTTTCGCTTCCTCGAGGAACAAGAACCAATCCTTCGTGGTAAGACAACATGTCATCCTCAATAGTATCTGTTTTCATCATCATCATCAGAAAAAAAAACATAATATAAATCATTTTAGAGGCGATGAAAAACAATTCTTACCGTCTTCAGCTACACTTTCCAACGCATCAGTTGTTATACTTTGAGAACGGACCAATTGGGACCTTAAGTGCTGTGGCGCTCGATGATGCACACCGAGCAAAAGACTGTAATCCATTATGTTCTGTGCTTCCAAGAACTTGCTATCGATCTCTAGTTGCCTGGTTACACCATGGGGGGAACAAAATTTAGAATCTGGAATCAGGTGTGACAAAAAAATTTATCTTACAACTGGTCCTGGAGAGAGTAATATACCTTAGTAAACCTTCCCGCCAAGAAGGCTCCAAGAAGAAGTTGTAGCTCAGATCCAAATCTTTAAGTATCGTGTTCTCGTCTATCTCGACTTTGTCTGCAGAGCGTCCCAATGACGAACCTTTAAGGTCAAATCTCCTATGAATTCTTAGATCTGTAAAGAACATGTTACCCATCACCACAAAGCGGAACTGCAATGCAAGAGAGATTTTCAAACTTAGTTAGTAAGTTGATTAGGATTTAAAAATGTTGCTCTAATGCTAGGTTGCTGCTTTTAATCATAGCAAGACTTTAAGAGGCAGCAATGTTGGTTATCTCAGAGCTAGTGATAGTAGAAATCAAAATCAGAATCATCTAGGGATATAATTTATTGCTTCAGGACCTTTTGACCACTTGATGGTCTGATTCTGTGGAGGCCAAAGAATTTAGTAATGAGGGTGTTCTCATACGTTTTCACATGATGATGGTAATCTGGAAGCATCCTCAGGAGAACCTACACATTGAAAATTTATTAATCTCAATGTCCATAAATCACACGCAAGCAGAAAACAGAGTCTACACAAAGAAATAGAGAAATGTGAAAACATAGATGGTGGATACGTAAGTCGTTACAAACCTTGACTTCAGATTTCCTGAGTGTTTTAATCATGAAACGATCATCCTGAGACAGGAAGAAGACGCTGCCGCTCTTCCCTGGAGAAGAAAGTTCCCTTAAGGTATCATTTCCGCAAATGGACATCATATAATCAGCTGCATCGATCTTGAACATCTCCCTCAGGTTTCTACATGGTTTAAAAAGAATGTAAACAACAATGACACACAATTAATATATAGTTAGCAAACTACTAAGAAAAAATCTATGCACAAAAGTTTTGGTAGAGAAATTTTTAACCTGAATACCATTGGGCAATAGTCCTTCCATTTAAAGTCTTCCGAGCGGTGCGGAGGAGTCATCGTGGAGCCAGCTCGAGGAAAATTCATCCAAAAACTAGCCCGAGGTCCAAAGTCTGCTGTCCTTACTTCTCGCCTTTGTATGGGCGTAATTTTCCCCACTGTATATCTAACGTTTGTACTAGTTCAGTGACACAACACTGGGTGCTGAATTAAGAGCTGAATTACTCTCACAGGACACAGGAACTGGAAGGAGAAGGAGCAAGCATACCTGATTCCAAGCTGCAAATTGAGCATCAGATCATAACTTCGGTGGCCTTTAATAACAACTTCTCCAGGCTTCTTAGCTTCTTTAACCAGTCTTTTGTGTTTCTTCTTTGCTCTTCTGGATGTGCGTGAAAACCCATTGTTAACCACAAGCTCACTGATAAGAACACCTTGCATATATTCCCGCTCCAAGATCGGTATGTTTGCATTATACTGCACGCTACTTCCGCTATCTAAAACTGCTGTAGATAAATCAGAGTAATCATGTCCAATCACTTTCTCAATAGATACTTCAAGACTCCACCGTCTTTCTAAAGACACCCTTCCGTTGCGGGACTGTTCTAAGTTTATTAAGCTCCCTTTTGAGAGCTTACTACGGTTCACGCCAACTCTAAGGTTTTCCATATTAACCGACGAAGCAACTTGGTTCTGTCTTTTCAAATCCGGTAAAACGCCTCTTTTCCTAAGAGCATTTAAATAAAACTCTTGCACTGCAGGAACTCTGGTTCCCGCTGAATAAAACGAGCCTTTACCATCTTTCAAACCCCTGGTCCATGTTCCAACATAGCAACCACCATCTCTCCATGTATATACACCAACACCATGCATCATTCCATTCAACCAACTTCCTTCATAGGAGTCCCCAGTAACCCAAGTCAGCGTACCCTTTCCTGACATTTTCCCGCCTTTCATATCCCCAAGATAGACATTTTTATTAGCCCAAGTATACTTGCCTGGCCCTTCTCCCAACCCCTGAATCCAAGAACCTTCAAAGACATCACCATTGGGGTAATCCTGATATCCAAGCCCATGCTTCAGATTAAGCCGCCATCTTCCTTTATATGTTAATTTGTTAGCATCCACATAAGTCCCTGAACCGTGCATATAACCGCCTGCAAATTCACCTTCATACCATGCCCCGGAAGCCCATATCATCTTCCCAATTCCATGTCTCACCCCACGCCTCCATTCTCCATCGTAAACGCACCCATCTGACCACACGTACTTCCCTGGACCCTCGGGAACATTTCCAAGCAAAGAACCACAGTAGGATTCGCCATCAGGGAGCAACAGCGTCTTAACTCTGAACCCAACATCCTCAGAAGTTTCAGAGATTTCTCCATTGTTTAGCGCAGATAGGATCTCTCTGTTAGTAAGTGCATCAACAGATTTCGTTCTTTCTGCAAAAGCAACTGGTCCTCCAACGTCAAGGCCAGACATGTAAAATCTCCAAAGAAGCTAACGCAAAGTTGCTCAGACAAACCGTAGAGCAAAAGGCGTGAAGGCTTCAAGGAG